AGGACTCCTCCCTACACTCCCTTCCAGCCACCCTGGCAGGGTAGAGGCAGAAGGGTGTTCCCCAGACTCTTTCTCACAGTGAGTTCTTTTTTTTTTTTGTGAGGAAGATCAGCCCTGAGCTAACATCCATGCTAATCCTCCTCTTTTTGCTGCGGAAGACCGGCTCTGAGCTAACATCTATTGCCAATCCTCCTCCTTTTTTTTTTTTTTTTTTTTTCCCCAAAGCCCCAGTAGATAGTTGTATGTCATAGTTGCACATCCTTCTAGTTGCTGCATGTGGGACGTGGCCTCAGCATGGCCGGAGAAGCAGTGTGTCGGTGCACACCCAGGATCTGAACCTGAGCCACCAGTAGCAGAGCACACGCACTTAACCACTAAGCCACGGGGCCGGCCCTCACAGTGAGTTCTTAACAGCTGGTGGACAGACCCCAGAACTTTGGGACAAACCCATACCCCTCCCACCTTTCAGACCTGAGTACATTGAGATGACTTTTTTTAAGTACTGAGGAAGAAACGAGGCTCTGATTTCAGTGGGAGGGAGGAAACAGAGATATGTTGCTGAGCATGTGTCCCACATATGATTCCAGCGGGTTATCGCTGTGTTGCTCATGGGAGCACGATGATCGAGGCACTGGGCACAGAGCTGTTAGAAAGTGTTCAGGTAACCAGTGCTCAGACTGGGGTAGCGGCCACAGCAACAGGTAATAGAGAGTGGGGCTAATGGGGGGAGATCTCTTGCAGCACACTCAGTATATTGAAGTAGCTGCAAAGTACCTTCAACTTTGGATGACCACAGTCACAAAAGATGACCATATAACTTATTGTCTGAACCAAAACACCTTTGAAAGGGAAAGGGGGCACTTATTAATAATCACATCAGGATAATCAGTGTAAACTGGGACTGTTCCAACCAAACTAAGACATATGCTGTCTGGATAGATGACCCTAAAGAGTGTTCTGGAAGATTGAGTAAAGTTAGTCCACCAAAGCTATAAAGAGAAGGAGAGTTAATACCCTCGTGGGTAAGGCACTAACACTCTTGCTACCTATCAGAGTTACTGAGGGAGAGGACAATGATGGAGAGGTAGGAACACTCCTGTCTTTAGGAATTGCTTCAAATAAAGTAAATCAGCGTGGGTGAAAATAAATGCAAAAGTCACCAGTATTGTCAGAGCTGATTTGTGGTTCGATGGGTGTATGATGAAGGAGCAGCTATAGGGAAGAAAGATCAGAGAGATAAACACAGTATGTGGCCCCTAAGCATTATGACTACGCTGGTTCTGCACCCCTTCCTCCCAGGGCAATCCCTGGGAGCTCATGCTATGACCCCTCTTGTTCATGGGCAGTTCCAGCAGGTCCTGGCTTCTTACCTGCATGTGTCGGTAGAAGGCTTCCTCTTTTGGGGCTATTTTCCTCCTCCCTCTGCTGCCATTGGCAAGAAATGACCCAAGCTGGACTTCTAAGGGCCATCAGGCTTCCCTCCCATGACCAAGCAGTCCACAGTCAGCCGCCTTATGTGCTTTGACATCCAATCGGAATGCAAGATCTCAAACATTGGCTGTATCTCCAGATTTCCAACTCAGGGTAAGTTGAATCAGTACAGACCAAGAACTGAGGAGGAGGCCACAGAGGTGAATTCTACTCGCCTTCCCCAGAGTCTCTCTCTCTGCACCATCTCATTTCGATGAGGTCAGGTCCTGGTGCCTCCACGTGGCCATCGCTCCTCTCCCCAGGGCACCTGGCCTGGAAAGGAAGGGCTGCGATAGAGACAACCCTGGGCTAGGGAGTCACTGACAGAGAACCAGGAGCATAAAGAAATGGAAACAAAGTCTTGGAAATAGAGAAAGTTTGAAAAATGGGCAGCTGCATGCCCCACAGAACTGTGCTTCAGCCACTCCTTCAAGCTAAGTCTGGGTGTCAGCGGGCAAGAGGTCTTCCTGGTCTCACAGATATCAAGCCTCAATTGGACTAAAAACTATTTTCAATATTTCAGCTATCCCTGAGCCAGACAGCAAGTGTTGTCAGCTCTAGAGATTTTTTTAAAAGTCATGCTGACAGTTACTATACTTTCAGTAACTTTCGGCTCCTCCTGCTCCTGGAGCCTTCCCCAGCCACAGCCCCATTGCCAAGATTGGGCCAACTCCTCTCACTTGCCCTGGAGTGAGGGGACCCGTCTCCTAATTATAGAAGAAAAACATAATGTGTCCCATATTCCGTTTGTTAACTTTCTCTCTTCTTTTGCACATTTTAAGCTTCTCAGGCCTGCCTTCTTTTTCCCTCTGAATACTCTATAATGAAATTCTGGTGCTTGGTTTTCAAAAGCAAGCCCCACAAATGCTCATGAAACAAACCTCAGCAAGATGAGGAGAACATACTCCCTCTTATCCTAGAGTTGCCAAAAATCAGACACAATTCTGCTTCGTAGAGTTGATTCTGATAAAGTGGTGAATCAAGAACATTCAATCTCACTGGTGTGAAAATATATAATCTTGTTCTATGTTATATTTATATCATCTTTGGAAGTGTAATTTGTACAAAGGAGTCTGCTAAGACATTCAGACTTCAAAGATGATTGCTATGTGACCAGTGCAATGTAATCTATAAACCTTGGAAGTCTGCAGCTCTGGTTGGCTGTTGATAATTTATTACTCTGAAAACAATATTTAAATTAACCTCTTCAATTTCCAAAAGGAATAAATACTTGTGAGATTGTTGTTTGTTTGTTAGATCAGAAGAATACCTCTAAGACTCTCTTTTCCTCCTTTCCAGCATAAAGGTAAAATCTCATTACTCTTTTTGATTTTTTTTTCAAAGAGTTTAAGAGTCTGTGATTACTTGAATTAACAGGAGGAATCCCTGCCTTGTGATCTACCAGGAAAGACAGGAATCAACTTTATGGGAAGGGCTGGAAAAGGAAAGACAGGGAAACAGTAAAACCCTGAGTTCAATTAAGTTGAGGGGATTTGGGATTTGTCTGTGGCCCATAGCACCCCTTCCCTGCAGGTGATCTAAGGGACACAGATGCTCTGACCACGATATTTGGGGTCATCTCCACTGTGCCCCTCTTACTTGAGAGACAATAGAATTCCCAAGCCCAATAGGAAGCTACCTTCTCAAGTAGAGGCTCCCAGGACGATGAAGCAGTATGATGCCTGGAAGAGACGAAGCTGTCAGAGCAAAGGCTTGGCTCAAGGAGGATGAAAGCAAGAACACGGAGGCCTGGAGAAAGGGAGGAAGGAGATGGAGATGAGGGAAGCATGCAGGAAGAGCAACAGGAAGGAGAAGAACACACAGCCAGGGACCCGAGCGGCCTGCGTGGGCCCAGAGTGGAGATGACTTCACGAAGTGGGGGTGAGGGGATTGCCACCCAAGCTCTCCCTCGGACTACAGATGGAGGGAGCATGATCTGGGAAGAAGAGGGATCCAGAGGAGTGGCGCTTGAGAAGGAGCCTGGCCATTTGAGACGACCCAGGGAGAGCCTGGAAGGAGCTGATTATTACTATTACAGGATTAAAAAATATTACAGAGGTGTACCATTTTTAGTATATTTTGTATCTTTAGATTTTTCTCACTCTGCTGTCAGATAGCTGTGTTACAACCATATGTGTTTTGTTGTCCTGTGTGGGGCCGGGGAAGTCTTCCACAGGAGAAGGGGAAGAGGGAAAAGTCAGGTCACAAAGAGTGGTAGCGGAAAAATACTCAGCAAAGCCATAGCAGGGCTGAAAGAAGAGGGATTACAGGTTAGCTTAGGGGGAAAAGGGGAGGAAGTTGGCGAAGAGACTCTCTACCCATATATTCAAGATTGAACCACACGCATTTCACCATCATGTATGTGGGTTAAGCACCGTCCTGGCTATCAGCGATGGTGAGCCAAGCAGCCACAGTCCCTGCCTTAATGGAGCTGACTAGCTGGCCTGGTAGACTGGGAGTGTCCCTAAGGGTTCCCAGAGAGTCTCTTGAGAGAAGAGTGGACCAAGAGCCCCGGAGTGGGTGAGGAGCCATTGCCAGCACATGGCAGCACTTGTGCCTGGTAGAATGGAGAGAGAAAGGTAAGCAGAACAATTTGACAAAGCCACTGCGGGTTATGACCCTGAGCCCCAGAGGCATGCAGAACTTCTAGACGGGGCTGGAGTCGGCACCCACAACGTGATCCTATTAACACCAGTGGTGCAGATTCCCCCCGCACCTGCCTGCCTCCCTAGGCCTCCCCTCCCCTTTCTGATCACAGGCAGTGGGGCTGCTCTGAGCTGGTTCCGGGAGCAGCAGCACTCCCCGTCGGGCAGCCCCCCTGGTCAGAGGGAGTTTGTGTCCTCGGGGAGCAGTTTGTGGCAGACCTTCCACACACTTGCCTCCTTTGAGAACTGGACCACCGGCCTCCACAAGGGCTTCCTGACCCCCCACCAAGCCGTGGATGAGTGTCGCTCCTGGAGGTGCAGGGAGGGCAGCCTCTGCCCACAGCCATGGCCCTGGCATCTGCCTAAAGAAGCTTGAGTCTGCAGACTCCCGCCCTGCACCAACCTGACTCTGCTGGACAAGCAGCTTCCAGGGTTGTGGGCAGAATTCAAAAGACCACCAAAGTGAAGGCCCCCAGCCATGCTCGACAAGGAGGGAGAGGACAGGAGAAGCTCAAGTTCACGGGTCACAAACTTCAGTTTCTACAAAAGGCGGGCTGGTAACATAAACAAGTCCCAAGGCCAGGGAGGGAGAGGTTTGGCAGATTAAAGGTGACAGCCATAGCTCACAAGGAGCCATCCTATTGTGCGTGATACATGGATATGGTAAAAATTAGTTTTAAATCGTACAAAAGAGTCAAGAGTCAGTGCCCTGATCCCTTCTGAGGGCTGTTGTGGCTTTGGAGACGTTTTTCCTCTAAATTGTGGTGGGCGAGCTATTCCTAAATCAGACAGCAGGTGGCGCTCAACTCAGAGAATTAGAAAAGGGGAACCAGGGAGAGTTAAGTAACTCATTTCCAGTAACTTCTCCCTCCTCCCCACAGGGCCTTCTCCAGCCCGGTTTCCTGTTCCCCGGCCTGGGCCAAGTCCTCTCAAGTCCCAGATGTCCGGTTCCAGATGCCTGATCTCAGAGTGGGGGAACTGTCTGTGGGGAAGCCCCCACTCCACAAGCTGCCCAGGCAAGATGTGAGTGTGCTGTGGAGAGGTCTGGAGGAGAGGAAGAGGGTGGGGAGAGGGAAGGGGGGCCTGGGGGCATATGTACACACACACACACACACACACACACACACACACACACAGCCAGTTAATGCAGCGGGGGACTGGAATTTGCCTGTCGCCTCTAGCAGCCTTCCCTGGGGATGGTCAGGCTCCATGCTCCGAGTCAGGAAACCAACATATTTTAAATGTCCCTCACTTGTACCACCACTGCTCCCTCACCCAGGGTGGAGGTGGGGTTTGCTGAAGCAGAAAGCAGCCCCCTACTTTGGATGAGATTCTCCAGGATGATGAGCAACGGTGGAAACTCAGGTCTAAGCTCAGGCTGACCAGGAGGCTGAAGGAATTGGGGTGAGGAGGGGCAATAGGGAGTGGCCAGGAGGTGCCCAGTCCTCACGGGCTGAAGCCACAATGTCTAACTGCCTTTGCCAGGCCTCTCAAGCCCTTAGCATGGCTTGCCTCCGTACCTCATATTTCCACAAGCCTCAGGCCACGGCTGTGTGGCCTCATCTTGCCCTCCCCCACCCACAGGTGGTGGCTGCTCCTCTGGGGAGTCGTCCAGGCTTGCCCCACGCAGGGCTCCGTGCTCTTGGCCCAGCAGCTCCCCCAGAAGCTGACATCCCCTGGGTACCCAGACCTGTATGTCAAAGGCCAGGAGATCTCCATCGACATCAAGGCTCCAGAGGGCTTTGCCGTGAGGCTTGTCTTCCAAGACTTTGACCTGGAGCCGTCCCAGGACTGTGAGCAAGACTCTGTCACAGTGAGCTGGGGTGGGGGTCCTAGAGGGAGTCTGGGGAGGGAGCCTCCTGGCCTGGAGCCCAGGGGCAGCGGGAGGTGGCTGCGCCCTGAATCACAGAGGATGAAGAGTCAGGGACACAGATCCAGCTTACCTGGGAGGCAAGGGTCTGCCCCCGCGCACAGCCTTCCACCAGCTGCCCTGTCCCTGCCCGTGCTGGGCCCCACAGAGCGAACGAGAGGGCAGCAGGACAGGCCCTGCCTTTTGAAGTCTTGCGAAGGGATACACGAATGCTGCAAATCCGTAAAAGAGCAAGGACTCACACATCAGTCGTTAAAAATACACCGTCAAGTGTCTGCTGAGTCCTGCTCTGTCAGGTTAGGAAGCTGGGCGTAAATAAGAACAAAAGATCAGATAACTGTGTGAGTTTACCTTGGAGGAGCTACTGCAAAACTTCGTATGATCGGGGCATTATCCATAACAAGGACACTTTAAGAACAGTACTTTACATTATCTTTTGGTTTAAATTTTATATATCAAAACAATACATGCACATAGTTTGTTTTTTTAATCAGAGTGCTACAAGGCTTATGATGAGAAACAGCACTCTGCAGCCCACTCCCCCCGCCCCATCGCTACTCCCCAGGGGCAGTTATTTACAGCTCGTGTGGCTGTTTCGTCTGGTATTTATTTTCTTACATATAAATGACATGCTTGTGCTGTGTTTTTTTACATATTGTCCATTAACTTCCAACTACAGAAGACAGGACGAGCTTTGTCTCTCTCAGACCTTCACCCCCCGCGTTTCCCCTCCCCCATCCTCCCAGTTTACCTAGTCATCATCTTTAGTTAAATCTAGATCTATTATTTACATTATTAACTTTAAAGTATTCACTTCTGAGCACATGACGTACAATAATTACATTTCCTTTCTTCTCCAACTTTTGGGTTTCCCCGGAGTCGATAATTACATGGAGTTCTTTGGGGTTTTTGTTGGTTTCTGTTTTGATTTTAGTTTGCTTCATTCTCTCTGTAACTAATCTCCCCAAACTCTTGGCCAGAGAGTAAATCGCCTCTCAACATGTTCAAGTACAAACAGCCATGTCTCCGTCCTCGTTTGTATTGGCGACATTTCACCTGAGGCTCTTGATGATTTGTCTTCAGTTTGAGCTCTTTGCTCAGACGAGCCCCACACGTCCTGGCAGGGCCCTCCCTCCCATTCTGGGCATTGCCTCTCCCAGCCCTGGGTTGGAACTGAATCCCCTATCAGTCTCTTTCTGGGTTTACTCCCTCATTTTGGAGGAGCACATTCTCCTCAGAAAGGGCGTGAGGGAATACGTTTTAGAGGATCTCACGTACCCCTAAATGTCTGAGTTCTGCACTCACAGTTGATGGACAGTTTATCTGGGTTGGATTCTAGGTGGGAAGTCATTTTCTCTCAGAATTTTGGTGACACTGTCTTCTGGCTCTAGTGTCGTTAAGTCTGATACCACTGTGATTCCTGATCCTTAGTGTTTTCTCTCTAGAACTTTTGGAATATTTTCCTTATTACCAGTATTTTGAACTTTCATTTGACATGCCTTGATGCAGGTCATTTGTACCCATTGTACAGGGTTCTTTTAATCCAGAGACTTTTTTAATCTAGTCCTTCAATTCTGGAAATGTTCTTGTATTGTTTTTTTAATGATTTCTAGGCATTTACTTTGTTTATTTTCTCTTTCTGGAACTTCTCTAATTTAGCTGCTGTACATTCTGGACTGATTATCTAGTTTTCTTGTCCATTCAGTTCTGTTTTCCCTTTGTCTTTTTGTTCCACTTTCTGGGAGATTTCCTCATTTTAAATACCAAATTTTTAATTAACCTTTTTCTGTTAACATTTTTTTCATGTCTAAAGGCTCATTCTTATTTTCTAAATGTGCCTTTTTAGAAAATCTTGTTCTTGTTCCATAGAGGCAATATCTACTCTTTTCCTTCTATCAGGATTATTTTAAAACGTTTCTTCTGTTCCCTCTATTGTCTCTACTTCATCAAGTCCCTTTTTACTGTTCCCTTGTTTTGGTCTCTGCTTTTCATGTTAGAGACTTTCCTACAATGTCTCATAATCCTTGGCTATCCGTTCATATTTAAGAGTGCGTACTAGAATGGATTTGGATGCTCTGTGTGGATAGCTGAAACTTGTGAAATGACAGGTTTGAAAATAGCGTTACCAACAAGGTGACCTAGATGTGCTGTCGGGGGCCTCCCAGATACCAAAATGAGGAATTATTCTCTTTGGGGACAGCCAACCTCAGAGAGGAATCCTCAGGTCTCATGCTCAGGGTTGCCAGCATTCTGGTAAACAAGCAGGGGAGGGCACCTCCCTGTTTGATATGTAGCCTTTCACCTAATCCCTCTGTTTCAGTACTGGCCTTCACCCCCTCTGTCAGGTGTGCTGGGGGACCCCAAGTCCAGGGTTTCTGCCTCATGCTCAGGTCTTCTGCCAGGGTGAGCCAGAGGGAGTTGTCTGGATGCGCACGGTTCTGAGGTCTCCGTACATAGGCTCTGTCAGCTCCTGCCTCATCCCCATCCTCAGGGCGTCCTGGTTAGCCCAATCTCCGAAACTTTCCAGAGTTCCGTGATAAGAACCTGCTTGCTTTATGTTGGCTGCCACCTTTGCAGACTCAGGTTGCCACTAGTCCCTCTCCACTCCACCTTCCAAAATGTTGTTGACATCTGCTGTCATCCCCTCTCGTGCATTTATCCTTGATCGTGTATACCATTTTATCCTTTTGCTGTCACAGTAGTGTGTTTTGAGGTGGGACAGCAGATAAATGCATGTATTTATTCCTTCAGATTTAACTGGAAGTCAGGGCTGTACTTTATTCAATTCAGCCTATGTCTGTTGAGCACCTACCACGAGCCCTGTTCTTAGTCATGGATGGTTTTAATCCCAGCCTGACTCTGCCCTTGCCATTGAGGGAGTTCAGGCTCAGGAATAGGATTCTCCCCTCCTCTCTGCCAGAGCAAGTCACACACGTGCTCCTCAAATGCAGAATTCAACACACTGTGGTCTAGTTCATTTTTCATTTGTCGGTATCCTCAGCCAGACTGAGGGCTCCCCGGTAGCAGAACTATATCTTATTCATATCTGTATCCCCAGCACAGTATCTCACACATAGGTCGTAATCAATGACTGTTTTTTGAAGGAATAAATGAAAGGACGAACAAAATCCAAGCTTGCCATGTGTGTAGGACACACAGAGAATGGATTTTGACTGAGCAGGTATTTAGTATCGTCCTCGCCACGCTCTTTTTGCAGATACTAGAGATGCCACAGGACGTGATGTTGTCCTGGCTGGGAGAGGCCTCACAGACCGTTTTATAGGAGGTCTCATCTTATGAGAGAGGAAACTGAGATCTGGGGTAGATGAGAAATTCCCCATGTCACGCAGGGAATTAGGTGCAAAGTCTGGAATTTAGCATGAGGTGGATGACTCTCGGTCGGGTGTTCATTCTACTTTGCTAGTTAAACTCCTAAGTCATTTTCTTTAGCCAGCAACTCATGAGAAAGGAAGAAAAGAAAACTAGAGGGCCCGGCCCCATGGCTGAGTGGTTAAAACTTCTGCGCGCTCCGCTTCGGCAGCCCGGGTTCAGGGGTTCAGATCCCAGGTACAGACCTGCTCCACTCACCAGCCACGCTGTGGAGGTGTCGCACATACAAAAAAAATAGAGGAAGATTGGCACAAATGTTAGCCCAGGGCTGATCTTTCTCCAGCAAAAAAAGAGGAGGGTTGGCAAGAAATGTTAGCTTAGGGTTAATCTTCCTCAGCAAAAAGAAAAGAAAAGAAAACTGGAGGGTTTTACAACCAAGTAGATCAGTAAAGGACAGTTTCCTACAGCAAAATGCCTCTTCCCCAAGAGGTAAGACTCATAAATATGGGGCTCAAATTTTTTGATGTTCTAAGGAAAAGAGCAGTATTGGGATGTGCCCAAACAAGGCATTTGGGGTGATTGAGAAATTTTCTTCATGCCAACTTGGACCCAGTTAATGTGATCACATTGAGATGGGCTGGATAGAGTTGTAAAGGAATTTGAGACTTTGGGAGAATGAGCAAATGAAGAGCTAGCAAGAACCCAGGATATGTGCATCAATATGAAAATCAGAAATAAAGTGAGCTGAATGGTGAGCTGTGTGCCCAGAATAGAGATTAAGCATGAAGCATGGCAGGGGAACCCCTTTCAAGGTGCCCTTCCTTGGGTGGGGGAGCCCACAGGAAGGGATTTGAGCAGGGGCGAGGCAGTCAGAAGGGGACTGAAACAGAGATGAACTCCTTAAAGAATATGTAAGTTAAGCAGCAAAAGCCAGCATATCCATATCATGGACATTTTGTGTCCTTAGATTCCCACGCCTTGTGGAGGCTTCATTTACAGTTTGTGGGGTAAGAGGAGGGACACTCCAAAGAAGGAGAACAGGAAAGGCCCAGACCCTCAGGGGCTTAGTCTTTGCAGAAGGCCTTATTTCTTCACAGATGTTGGCCAAAGGAAATTACTCAGAGAAGTGGAGGGCGATGTGGGTGGAGGAAGCCGGACGGGAGGGACTTAACGTCAGTATGTTCACTGATTCAAGCTGTCACACTGTAGGCACCATGTTGGGCATCAGGGACTCAGTGGTGAGCAAAAGAGACATAGTTTCTGCCTTCTTAGAATTTACAACCCAGTGGACTATTGGGGAACCCTGGGGTTCCCAAGGAGCTTCTTGAAAGCAGGTAAATATGGTGGGATTTATGAGATAATTATAGTAGGCTAAAGAAATATGTTGGGTATCTGGTCATGTCTCAAAGAAACTTGGGAGTCAGTAATGGAACAGGAAGCTTCTTGAACGAGACTCCACGAGGTATGGCTTCTGAGCCCCCGAGGTGTGCAGACCTTCTAGACGGGGCTAGAGTTCATGCCATGACGTGACCCTGCGACCACCTGTGGTGCAGATTCACCCCACACCTGCATGTCCTCCCTCCCCTCCCCTTTCAGATCACGGCCAGTGGGATGGATCCAAGCCGCTTCTGTGGCCAGCAAGGCTCCCCACTGGGCAGCCCCCCTGGTCAGAGGGAGTTTGTATCCTCAGGGAGCAGTTTGCGACTGACCTTCCGGGCACCTGCCTCCTCTGAGGACAGGACCACCCACCTCCACAGGGGCTTTCTGGCCCTCTACCAAGCCGTGGGTGAGTGTCCCTCCTGGGGGTGCAGTCTCTGCTCACAGTCATGACCCCTGGTATCTGGAAGCACCAAGCAGAAGCTTGAGCGACTGCTGAGGCTGGTGGCTCAAGGACACCTGGGCCCAATGCCTGCCCACCCCCGCACTGCCCCTGCTGGTGAGCAGCCCAGTTAAAGGGGCAGCCATTGCTCAGCACCAGCAGTGTTTCCATGCCAGTCTACTGGCTTGGTGCTTACAGATCATCTCATTTTTCAAGAGAAGCCAAAAATCCAGATTTTTACATGAAATTCTAGATTTTCAAATGGTAACTCAGAATTTTTGAAAGATAATATGTGCACATGATAAAAATTTCCTGAAAAAAAATAATATGGTGAAAAGTAAGCCTTCCTCTGATCTCTGGCCCTTAGTCTCTGGCTACCTTGTCCAGAAATAATTCTGTTCTCTATTTCCTAGAGAGTCTTCCAAAGACTTTCTGTGCTATTCAAATATAAATATCGTGTGTGTGTTGCGTAATATTCACAATGTTTTAAATTTGGCATTTTTCACTCAATGATACACCTTAAAGATCATCTCATATACGTATGATTAGCATTGCCTAATTCTTTTTAATGAGCATATAGCATTCCTTTGATTGATGCATTGTAATACATTTAATCAGTCCTCCGCTAATAGATATTTTGCTTCCACAAACAGTACTGCTAAGGATATCCTTGTATATACATCTTTGAGCACGTGTATGAGGGTAAATTCTTAGAAATGGGAATGCTAGGTCAAAAACATTTGCAATTTTAATTTTGATATTGCTAAAGTTCCCTCTGTTCTAGGTACTAATGACCACTGTTTTCCTATAGGTATGAACCATAGTCAGCCTATCAGCCCGGCCAGTGGGGGCTCTGAGGCCACACACACACCCGAAGACAACCCCTCCAAATTCCAGAACCACTGCCAGGAGCCATATTATCAGGTGGTGCCAGCAGGTGAGTCCCCACTTGCTGGGGAACCAGCTCCTATTTGCCTCGCTCCCACCAAGAGGCCTGAGGCCCTTTGGGCTCCTGTCTTTCGGCCCCACCCCTCCCAATGCTGAGCCTGTTTCTTTGCCTCCCCTCTTTTCACTCCTCAGGGACACTCAGCTGCACAGCCCGGGGCCCCTGGCAGGAGACACAGGACAGGAGGGAGGTTCCTCACTGTGTACCTGGTGAGTAGTGACCTGCCAGCACTGTGACCACGGCCACTTCCCCAGGAAGCCTCAGCTGTATGCGGGCCTGTGGGAGCAGGACGCAGGAGGGTAAAGAAAGCCTTAGAAACAAGGGGGGAGATAAAGGCAGAAGGTGAGGAAGAAAAGGGGAACCGAGAAGGCCCAGAAAAGGAGAGGCAAGGAGCTTGTCCCCTGTCCTTTGAGGATCAAGAGATAACTAAGAGAGCAAAAGCACCAAGGAAGTTCCTCAGATGGGGATGTGAAGGAGGGAGAGGGGCAGAAGAGCTGAAATAAGAGAAAGCCCTCTCTTGTGTGTGCATGTGGTAAAGATGTTACCGGATACACACCCAGGTGCTTCACCCGCCACACAAGAGGGGCCAAATAAAACTGGAACGCCAGGCTTATGGCAAGGAAAGAGTTTTTATTTCAGATGACGTCAGCCGGGAGACGAGAGCTCTCAAATTTATCCTGTCTCCCTGAAAGATGGGAGGCAAGGGGTTTTAAAGGTTGCGAGAGGGAGCATGTGCTGGGGTTTTAGGTAAGGGAGGTGGGGCATGTGGACATGCTAGCTGGCACCTTCCCACCAGCCTGCATTTGACCTTGCAGACTGAATTTCTTTCCCTTGACTGTCTGGACTTTTCTGGGAAAGTTTTCATCTTCAGCCTGCGTTTGGCCTTGTGAGGCTGAATATTGACGTCTGGACCTTGATTTCCTGGGAGAGACAGCTCACTCCTATACTAAGGAGGGACAGAGAGACCTGGTTAGTTTTAAACAACAGTTGATTATGCTGAATATGCACAGCTGCAGTTAGCAAAACTTATCTCCAAGTTTTTGCTCTCTTCTTCTAGCCCAGGGAAGATTTTTTAACCTCTTTGTGCTCGGTTTCAAGGATACACAGACAGGCACTCTGTCCCCAAAATATCTCCCTACCTAGATGCCACAGTGCCAGAAAGTCCACCATTTTTTTTTAAGTTTTTTTGTTGAAATAAAATTCACATAACATAAAATTCACCATTTTAACCATTTTAAAGTGTACAATTCAGTAATTTTTAGTATACATATTCACAATGTTGTGCAACCATGACCACTAATTCCAGAACATTTCCGTCACCTCAAAAAGAAACTCCAACTCTCCTCTCCCCCATCCCCTGGCCAGCACTAATCTGCTTTCTGGACATTTCATATCAATGCAATCATACAATATGTGGCCTTTCGTATCTGGCTTCTTTCATTTAGCATAATGTTTTCAAGGTTCATCCACATGGTAGCAAATATCAGTACTCCGTTCCTTTTCATGGCTGAGTAGAATTCCACTATATGGATATACCACATTTTGTTTATCCATTCATCAGTTGATTGACATTTGGGTTGTTTCCACTTTTTGCCTTTTATGGATAATGCTGCTGTGAGCATCCATGTACAAGTTTCTGTTTGAACATCTGTTTTCAGCTCTTTGAGGTATACATCTAGGAGTCATATCATATGGGTCCTATCCCATATGGATACTGGGTCATATCATAACTTTATGTTTAACTTTTTGAGGAATTTCCAAACTGTTTTCCACAGTGGTTGCACCATTTTACATTCCCACCAGCAATATATGAGGGTTCAAGTCCACTATTTTCGAAACCCATTTTTTTTTTGAGTCAAAGTATTGTCTTTAACCCAATCTGAGTAAATTTCTCAGATTTTACTCCTGACTCATAGAAAGCTCTAGGGGCAGGCTGACTTGTGCTTTGGGAGTGGGTTGGAGGGCGAGTGGTAGTCACAGATGTTAAAAGTGACAAAATGACACAGAAAACAGAGGCAAGAAGCACTGAGGACAAGTGGCTTACTGCCCTGATTTTGCTCAGGGATGGTCCCACCAAGAGTCTAAAGACACGACTTAAAAATGGCTGAGGAGGTAGGAGGGAGCGCACTTCACACAAGTGGGTCTTTGCTAAATGCATCTTGATGTGGCTGCTGATGTTTCACTCTTTCCTCTCCTCTCTCCCAGTCTGTGGACAGCCAGTCACCCCCATAGCCCAGGACCAGGAGGCCCTTGGATCTTCCAGAGCTAAGTCAGGAAACTTCCCCTGGCAAGCCCTCACCAGTATCTACGGCCGTGGGGGTGGGGCCCTGCTGGGCGACAGGTGGATCCTCACCGCCGCCCACACCATCTATCCCAAGGACAGCATCTCTCCCAGGAAGAACCGGAGGGTGGATGTGTTCCTGGGCCACACGAACGTAGATGAGATGCTAGAACTGGGAAACCATCCCGTGCGCCGTGTGGTGGTGCACCCAGACTACCGTCAGAATGAGTCCCACAACTTCACTGGGGACATTGCTCTCCTGGAGCTCCAGCACAGTGTGCCCCTCGGCCCTAGCCTCCTCCCGGTCTGTCTGCCTGACAGCGAGACCCTCTACCGCAGCGGCTTGTGGGGCTATGTCAGTGGGTTTGGTGTGGAGAGGGGCTGGTTAACTACTGAGTTGAAATACGCAAGGCTGCCCGTAGCCCCAAGGGAGGCCTGCAAGGCCTGGCTCCAAGAGAAGCAGAGGACCGAGGTGTTTTCTGACAGCATGTTCTGTGTTGGGGATAAGATGCGGCCCCAGAGTGTCTGCCAAGGGGACAGTGGTGGCGTCTATGTGGTATGGGATGATCGTGCCCGTCACTGGGTGGCCACGGGCATCGTATCCTGGGGCATAGGGTGTGACAAGGGATATGGCTTCTACACCAAAGTGCTCAACTACGTGGACTGGATCAAGGAAGTGATGGACGGGAAGGACTGACCCTGGGGTGCTTGAACACTGTGGGGGCCCAGACAGGAGAGGGTTGGGAGTGAGGACTGAGCCCTGGGGTGGGGAGGGGAGTGGGCAGGGAGTCCCTATTCAAGTCACTGCTGCAGCAATCTGCGCAAGGGAAACCCTCCTCCACTCAAGCCCTCCACCATCCCAGACAGGAAGCAGCGTCCCAGGCCCCTCCTCCTCATCCTCTCCCTTCCTGCGTGTTTGCGCTTCGCCCAGAGAAGCCCTGTATATCTCAGGGAGTTTCACTTTCAACTTCTCCTGCTGACACAGCTTCTTCCGTACTCTCCTGGGAGACAGCCACCCTCTCATCCTCCTGTTCAAGCAGAGTATGGGTCAAGTGGTCTTAATTACATTTCATTTCTGAAACATTCCAAAGCCCCTTGAGTTGGTTTCACCGTGTACCACAACTCCTAGCTGCAATTATAGTAACAGCTCGTTTTTTGTTTTACATCTTCCGTATGCCAGGCGCTTCACATTTATTATTTCATTGACTCCTCACACCAAGTTTGCAAATGGTGTGTTATTATCCATGTTTTACAAATGAGGAAACTGAAGCTCCGGGAGATAATGTGACTTGCCCACATCCCACAGCTGATACAGGCCTGCAGAGGCCATGTGCTTTCCAGTACACCTGGATACCTCTCCATTGTCCTCAAGACCTTCTGTATGGCCCACTTCCCTTCCCAATCCGCAACTCCTTACAGATTCTACCACCCTGGGAATTCCTGCTACGATGAAGATGACAACACCTGGCCCACGCTCTCGTGCTGGCCCCATGTCCCGCAGACACCCCACTGCTGCTGGACGCCCCGGCCTGTGCCCCCACCGTGCACTGCTCCACCTTAAAAGGCCAATTCTTTAATTTTTAGTAAGGACTTGAGGTGATGTACAGTAAAAGACACAAATAAAATATGATTGTTCAAATGGAAAGAGAAAGTGAATACCATAAAACAGAGAAGAGAGCAAAATTGCTAGGTCAAGTTAGCCATATTGTTCAAGGTTAAATTTATCTTTGAAAAATAGCAGGATTTGAAGTTGTACATACATATGGTTGCTTCTATTTTTTAAACTTATACATAGTACAAAAGACTATTAAAAATACTCTAAAATATTAATCAGAGTTTGTTTTAGGTGGTATAATTTTGACTGTTTTGTTTTCCCCCATTCTTCTCTATTTGCTAAATTTTATTTAATAAGCATATATTTGTTTTACTTTATTTTTTTATTTTTATTATTGAAAAAATGATATGAGTTTATCGCTGCCAAGGCAAAAAATATATACCTATACATATCTATATGTCTATATCTGTATATCTAGATCTAGATGGAGATAGAGATATGGATATAGATATAGATATATCCACAGAGGGAAACCTGCCATTACTTAAGAAAGAAACTTTTATTTACCAGAATCAAATCCTAAAAGGAATTAACAATATAATGGACAACGTCTTCAATACTAGTTTTAAAACAAGTGCCTGAGCAATCTTCATATGGCTCTTTCTTCTTTCTATTCTTGGTATAAGTCGGGGTATAAGACAAATGTGTAAGTAAAGGTTATTTTGAGTGGTTGGGCAGAATGCAGGTCTGGCTACGACTGAGCTACTGAGGTCCAGGCTTGTCACTTTCCAGTCATGTTGTATGATACCAGGACAGAACTCGGAATCCCTGGGACAGATGGGAGAGCTTCAGCTGGACTTACCTTCTTGGACCACCTCCTCCTTACCTGTTATCTCTGCCATCCTGCCCCCACTATGAACACACAACACACACACACACACACACACACACACTGCTGTCAAAATGCTAATGTGCAATTTGCTAGACAAGATTCCCCTTCTCTCTTGTCTTCTGATCTGGTTCTTAACCTTCTGCCCTAACTTTCGTCTTTCCTGACCAGACAAGGCCATGGATCATGCCATGGATCAGCTCTGCCATCAGATTCATTCCAACAGCTCCTACATATAAGCCTGCTGGAGAAACACTCCCAAACCTTGGTTGATCTTGCGTGTATCTGCTCTCTAACTACATCCAGTGATGACTTGGTCACTGCCTAATGGGGAACTACCCCATCTTCATGAGTCCTTGTAATCCACCACCTGGGAAAGTGCCTGGCACGTTAAATAGGTCACCCACAAATGGGTGGGTAGGTGGGTGGAGGGATGGAGGGATTAATCTAATAGGGGAAAAAGCACGATAGACTACAAAGGCCTAAGAATTGAGAGGCCTGCTCTGCAGCCTGAGCCCCCCTTTGGAATACAGCACATAGGGTATTTGAGCCATGGAGAATTGATAAAGAAAGGCTTCCACGAAGAGCAAACTTTTGAAACAGGACTATGGCCTGGTGGACAGGAGACACAAGAGCCCCTCCTCCCTCCCAGGGGCCTGGCTTCCTCTCAGAAAAGACAAAGGCAGCTGGGTACACAGCCACACTATTTGCCTGGCCCTGGGCAGTTGTGACCCTGAGGGCTCCAACTCGTGACCAGATGTGTGACTGGGAACAGGCAAGGAAAGCGTTGCTGAGAATCTGATCCATATCTAACATGGTCTGTCAAACGTTTTTCTAGACAAGGAGAAAACTAAATGTGCTGTTTTTCAGAAGTTGATGCCCCCGTTTTTGCAGATGTTGCCACCCTACAGTGAAACTTACATGGTTGCAGCAAGACCCCTGCAAATTGCTCCAGCTCCAAGGGTCCAAAAGTTACCATGGGCCCATTGAACTTATTATGAAATGGCATGTTACATTGAACCTGTTACGTAATGGTACCTTGATCTCCTAATGTAATGGCATGTTACATAGAACTCACTATGTAACGGTGCCGTGAACTCCTTATGTAATAGCCTGCACATGCGCCCTGATTGAGCCCGGTAGTTACACAGTTGTAACATATCCTCTGCACTCTTGTGTATAAAGTCTCCACCAGCACTACACTGCTTTGGGAGCAGTCCCCGGTGTTCTCCATTGCTGGTGCAAGTAATAAACCTTTTCTTCACCCCCTTCAGCCTTGGTTGTGTTTTTCGGCTCCGCACTCACCCAGAGACAAACCCATCGGTTACAGATGCTGAGGAAAAGAGGAGGTCTCCATCCCCTTCCACAGCTGCCCTTGCTTCTCTAAGAGCCAAATTCATTGGCAGACCTGAGTTCACTGAGGTGGGGAGGAAGAGTCTTAAAACAGACCCTAGTGCTGCTTTAGGGTCATCCTGACACAGCAATCCCTGTTGTACGTCTGAGTGTCATTCTTGAGTGAAGTAGGCCAGGGCCCCAAAGCAATCAAACCCCATTCTCCTCTGTCCACTCCTGCACTGCCCTCCTCTACCCCTTGTTCCTAGCATATCATCCTGGACATTGAAACCCTGGCCATTCCTGGACGGGGCTGCTGGGTGACAAAGGACAGGATGCACGAGGTTAATGGGAAAGGGCAGTGCAGAAAAAAGGGTCCATTCAACTGTGATTGCCATTACCCTTTGGGTAGGAAACTTTTAAACACAGCAGCAGTCCCTCGGAAGGTCCCTGAAGAACGGGGGAATCCCGATCAGATTTAGAAACAGAAGTATGGGCCTCCAACCAAAGGCTTTTCTGTCCCTAAAAATTCTGACCCATCTCCTTAGCCCTTCCCATGTTGGCCAGCAGGTGGCACCACCATCAGGGATTTCAAAACCAAAACTAAGTTAAACTGGAAACAGATTTTTGTTTTGTTTATGCAAATAGATCATTCCCTACAACATTCCTCCGGGAATGGTCCCCTCCTTCCCTCTCCACAGTCATTCCCTCCCCCTTGCCTCCTCTGCATGACCGCTCTCTCCCTCAACACAGAGTGGATGAAGACGCTGTCAGGAGAGTGAAGGATCCACAGGCCTTGAGAAATGTGAGTAAGGCTGATGGGGACTGAGCAGGGAGGGAGAAGGCAGAGGGGAGAATCCTGGGCATGGGAAGCAACCCTGCTCCCAAATTTATTCAGAGAGACAGGAGCACCCTTCTCCTCCCCGTATACCTTATCTATTCCAATGTGCACATGCGTGCACACTCGCGAACACATACCCCTCCATCCCTCCTCCTGAAGATGAAAGGAGACCTTAGACAATGAGGTGATGGCCACATTCCCTTTTTCCTCCCAGCTCATAGCAGGGGAGCAGCGAGATGGGGCTACCCACTCTGCCCAGGAGGGGTGTCCTCTGTGCTCAACTCCGTACTCCACAGGCGGTTTCTCCCAGAGGCCTTTGCTGAGCCTTTTGGGAGCCCTTTCAGAGAGCCATGACTGGAAACCCTCACCCTCAGTTAACTGGTCCCAAGCCAGCCCTATTCCGAGAAGGGGAGGGGAATGATGGGACAGAGTAGGGGAGGAGGATGGGGAGAGAGGTGAAGAGTATGATGACCTCTGGACTGGACATTGCCCTGGGGAGGAATACCCAGTGCAGCAGCTCCAGAGGCTGGCCTCCCCACTCCACTCACCCCCACCTAGAACACCTCTGTGAAGTCTTAAATGGGCACAGAGGAAAATGCCCAGTGGTATGACCGTCCCATCCCCCACCCCAGCCACTGCCCAAACAGCAAGGGATCTGCACCCCTCCAGCCCTACAGACACCTCTTTCTTTTTGGCAGGTGGCTTTTATACCTCTTGGTGCCAGTCCTGTTCTGCAGGGTGGAAGGCTCCATCCCCAACCCCCAGAAGCTCTTTGGGGAGGTGACTTCCCCTCTGTACCCCAAGACTTACCCCAACAACTTTGAGACAACCACTTCGATCACAGTCCCCAAGGGGTACAGAGTGAAGCTCATTTTCTGGCAGTTTGACCTGGAGCCTTCTGAAGGCTGTTTCTATGACTACGTCAAGGTAGGGGTCAGGTTGGGAGGGAGAGGGAGAGCTGGGTGTCTCTGGAACCTGAGGACTTGTGCTCTAATCACCCCGGATGGCACTCCCCACCCCTGGACACAGCCCCCACCCTGTGAGAGCTGATGGCAAAGTGAGTTCTGAGAGACAGGCGATGCCCAGGAAGGGATGCCCACCAGGTTTAGAGGCCCTCAGTGAGCACAGAAGGGAGAAACACGGGGGAGGGAAAGTACAGGCCCCACTCTCAGGAAATTTACTGTCTACAGGAGTCAGAAAAACCTTCCCCATCTGCTGACTTGCTGGAAGTCTTTGGGAAACCACTGTGCCTCAGTTTCCTTGTGTCCATGGCTGCCTCAACAGGAACATAAGAGCGTGGGGAGAGAAATGTGTGTGGCGGTAGCTCAAGCGTAGCCCTCAGAAAGGACGATGGGCTCAGTCCCCTCACCTCCGCAACAACCTAGGGTACATTTTCAGCCCCATCTTTCTAGAAGGGATTTAATACAAATGAGATTCTAGATTCAGGATTCAAGTAGAGCCTACACATGTCCAATAAGTACCATTCCCAGGAGACTCCCTGAAGGTTATGGGAGAATAACATAAGAATGATGCATCTTCCTAGCCTAAAGGACTTGAGAAGTTTGCAATGTTGCGGGGAGGGGTCTTGGCGGCAGGGATAGTGAGGAATGGGGGGGCGTCTTCTGCTTTTGAGGGTTACGGAATCTGTGAAGAAAGAGATAAGGGAAGCTAGGCAATGCTTGCCAGTGCGAAGGCCGGTGGG